CTTGGACAAGTAGTTGGAAGATGACAAAGATTACGATTTGAGTCTCTTTGATACAAATGCAGAAACTTGTATGAAGTGGCTAGATGCCAAAGAAATTGGATCCGTGGTTTATGTATCGTTTGGAAGCACTGCAGACCTTGGAAAAGATCAAATGGAGGAACTAGCATGGGGCCTTATGAGCAGCAACAACCACTTCTTCTGGGTGGTCAGAACTTTCGAAGAGTGTAAGCTTCCGAGTACTTTTATGGATTTGAAATCCGAAAAAGGTTTGGTTGTGAATTGGTGTCCTCAGCTTCAAGTTTTGGCTCACTACGCTGTGGGATGCTTTATGACTCATTGTGGGTGGAACTCAACACTGGAGGCATTGAGCTTGGGAGTGCCATTGTTGGCGATGCCACAGTGGACAGATCAACCAACTAAAGCAAAGTTTATTGTGGATGTATGGCAAGTGGGAATTCGACTAAAGGTTGATGAAAAGGGAACTGTTATAAGGGAAGAAATAGAGAACTTTATAAACGAAGTCATGGAGGGAGAAAGAGGGAAGGAGCTTAAAAGAAATGTTGTGAAGTTGAAGGAATTGGCTAAAGAAGCAGTAGATGAAGGCGGAAGCTCTACGATAAACATTGAAGAATTTGTTTCAGAAGTTCTAAGCACTTGATGTGTAAGTGTTCAGTATCTCAACATCATATCACAAACAAATAATCAATTCACTTGTGAACTGGCCTAGGCACCTAGTATTCCTGGACAACTAAACCAGTTGAGATCTTCAAGCAATGCTATTCCAAATTTTGAATGCTAAATAAATAGGGATCCTTAAATTAGAGGATTCCATTAATTTTCCCCAAGGGAACCCACTTATCCACGAATTCATATTCATGTTATGCTTATCAAATTTTCTTATCAAATCTTTTATCCCAAATGATGTGACATAATCTACGTCATTAAATATTTAATTGAACCTACTTATTTGATGGTAAAAAATTATACCAAGTTATTTAGGATGGAGATTTGGTAAGAAAAATTGGTAAGCATAGTATGACCTATTTAATTTTTCTTTGGGCAGCTTGCACTTAGATCCTTGAACTACTCCCCTCAATTTACATTACCCCTAAACTATTCCCTTTCTTATGTTGCACCTTAAGCTATTGGTTTTATTTTCACATTTCTCCAATCTTTAACTTTTGTCTAATTTTTCATGGAAAATCTGAGCAAGAATAGAATTTTAGAATGGTAAGAGATGTGGTTCTGGGTGGAATTCATTGTGACTACATATCGAAGGAATTGGATTTCCCCTCAAGAAAGAAATAAATGGAGATCCACTATAAACTAATGGGTCTTTCACCAATATACTTAAGTGATCTATCATTAACTGAACCTAACTATAGGGAATCTAGATTGTATTGTGATGGGACATTTTCAAGTACTCCAAGATGAAGACACGTGTCCTCGGCATTAGTAATTCTTGTTACTATAATCACGACACGTACCCGTCGGATCACAAGTCCCTGTTCCCCCGAGGTACTGTTCATGGGGATCAATGACACCCAGTACGTTACGTACCGACACGTATCACTCGGTCGGATATGGGTACATCGGTCCCTACATGTGCCACTCCCCCTGGTACCGAGATGTACCGTCCAGGATGGCGTTCTCTGCCCCTACAGAGGCTATTGATGTACAGGTCACTAGTTTAGGCTAGGCTAGGTTAGCCATCATGACCTCGTCTTACACAATTGGTGTTAGAAGGCACAAGGAGTCAGAAGACACAGCCAATGGGGAATGGACGCATGGCATATTGTGTCACATCAGAGACAAAAAGACCGGATGCCCTTGCTGACACACGACTTGGGAAAGTAAGCATTTAATTACACCATTCCCTTGATGAGACAGCATTTAATGCGATAAGGCTCGGAAGTGAAAGGTAATAAATGTCCCTAAGACTGGCATTTATTATATCCTTGCCGAGAGTAGCTCATTAAACAGTTGGCAGGCCGATGATGCAGCCTTAATTGCTCAGGATCCCGAGTAGTTAAAAGAGAAGACATTCCTCATAGGAATCAGTGCACACATTGCCCGTATCTAATGATCACCTACTGACCACACTGACAGTAATCATGATTTTTGAGGTATAAATACTCCTCACAAAAGACAAGACAGTATGCAATGAAAACCCTTTTCTCAAACCTATAATCAGTGTTTTCTTCTTCCCCTCTCTCAAAAACTGACTTGATCGTCGGAGGGGATACGTCGGAAAACACTCCGGCGGCCTTCTAACTTGTCTTTCTCTGTTCCAGGAACCTTCCTCAGCCTTACTGGACCGCTCCCTTGATCCACGAAAGTCACCCATTACTGTTCCAGGCCACCAACGGATCTCAGCCTGTTCCAAATAGCGGAGTTGACCATTTGATTGACTGACTCGAGTTTACCACGGGAGAGATCTGTTCTCGTGTTTATATTGTGCAAGATCCTGCACGCACAATCTGGCGCCGTCTGTGAGAAACGACTAGTTTTCCTAGTTTGTTCTCTATAAAGAACAGTGACCATGGTGAATACTCGACAAAAAGGGAAAGGTCCCCAGTAAAGAAGTCTCGATTTGCAAGCTCCTCGTCATAATGGAGGGAAGGGTCACGCTGATGACAACAGAAACGTCTCTATTCAGTCAATGAGGCTTACTCCTCAAACCAGTATGGGCATCAGGTCAGGAGGATCCGCCCCCTTGGCTCGTCAACTAGCGGAGGTGATTGAAGAAAGTTTGGGGATCGATTACGATAGTTGGAGAAAGATAATGTGAATGTCCTAAGCCGGCTTGACGAATTTGCCGCCTCCGACAAAGGATCGAGGGACTCATTCCGTTCCCGCGAACGCCCCGTCTGGGAAGCAGAAACCGAGGACCTGAGGAATCATTTAAACAACAAAGGTGAGAGTTCTAGGGTCCCGAAGCACCCAAGGGCCAACGAGCCACCCCTCAACGGTCAGGCTAGGAAGGCAAGACCTTTAGCCTGGGACGACCTCCGGCGAGGACTGTCAAGGCGCGGGAAGGGGGATGAGTCCGAGGAGGATTCAACCCTTTCCACGCGACGCCCGGGGAAGGCGAGCCCCGTCGATGACCTTGGAAACCTCAAAAGACATCCCTCGAAGGTGGAAGTTGATCTCAGAGCCCGGCTGGGATCCAAAAGAAGGGGCAAGGCTGTCCAGGATGACGCGGAAGGCAAGGCCATGCAATCACCTTTTACCAGGGACATCCGAGAGATGGAGGTATCAAAGAAGTTCATCGTGCTGAGATTTAAAACTTATGATGGGCGATCCGATCCAGAAGCTCACCTCAGGCAATACAAGCAAATGATGTCCCTGTATCATTCGGACCAACGGCTCCTCTGCCGAGTGTTCTCCATGAGTTTGGGAGATTCCAATATGAAGTGGTTCGAGACTCTTCTTCCCAACAGCATTGGGTCATGGAAGGAGTTAGCGAGGCAGTTTTTAGCCCGATTCATCATGGGGAGCAAGCGGCCCAAAGACATTGGGTCATTATTGACGCTCAGGCGGAAGGAACAAGAAACCCTTCGCCAGTACGCCACCCGGTATTGGGAGGAGGTCAATGATGTAGAGGGGTGTTTAGAAGTCATGGCAACCACCTCTTTTAGGCTCGGCCTGGCAAGGGACACGGACCTGTACCGATCCCTGACCAAAAAGACTCCCTTGGATATGGGCGAATTGATGGCCCGGATAAACAAATACTCCAAGGTTGAAGACGAAATGGGGGTAACAAAGGTAGAACTCTCCCACCTAGAAGAAAAGAGAAAGAAGCGGGGGACATCTCCCGAAAGGGGTTGGTACCCCCTCTAGGGAGGTGTCGACACTGTCTTCAAAGAACCCATCTACAGGTTACTCCATAGAATCAAGCATGAGCCATTCTTCAAGTGGCCGCCTAGAATGCAGAGTGATCCTGCCACCCGTGATCAAAGGGTTAAATGTTCCTATCACCGGAATTTTGGCCATCGCACCAAAAATTGCAGGGTATACAAGTCTTTCTTAGAATGGCTGGTCCGAGACGGCTACTTAAAAGAATACATGGAGCCCAAGACAGAAGAGAGGCGCGATCCTGGACCAGCCGTGGCGCAAGACAATGTCATAGACGTGATCCATGTATGTCTACTGGATCGCCCGACATCCAAGGAGCTTGAGTCCGACCTCAAGAGAGTGGTCTTTACAAGAAAGGTTGCCGAGAGCGAGGGGGGCCGCTTAGCAAGAGGGCCAGGATCGGCGAAACAGGTATCACCTTCTCCGACGCGGACTTGGCAGGCGTGGTGACTCCCCATAATGACGCCCTAATCATAACTCTGAAGATAGGCAAGTTCGACGTCAAGAGGGTGTTGGTGGACTCCGGAAGTTCTTCCGAAGTGATGTACTCAGAAACTTTAAAGCGGATGGGCTTTGCCCTCAAGGACCTCACCAAGGTCAGGACCCTCTCGTCGGATTTAACGACTCATTCGCCTTGCCCATAGGCAAAATCACATTGCCAGTTGTCACGGGTCCCTTCACCATCAATACGGAGTTTGTGGTGATCGATACGGACTCTCCCTATAATGTGATCACGGAATGAGCATGGTTGCATGCCCTGGGAGCGGTACACTCCACTTATCACCAAAAATTAAAATTTGCTACGCCAGAAGGGATCATGGAGATCCGAGGGGATCAAGCGTCTACGAAGAACTATTTTTACTCGGCTGTAAGAGCGGGGGTTTTCACCCAAGAGAAGGAGCGCCCTCCGGAAGAGATCCTAGAAAAATAGCAATCACAGTTCGGGCGTCCAAGAATGGATGACCCCCAGATTGACCCAACGGAACGGTCGGTGGAGGACCTCTGAAAGGTGCCCTTGGTGGAGGGAAAAGAGGAAAGGTATTTCTTGGTTGGAACTGCGATGCCCATAGCCGAACAGGAGGAAATGATTGACTTCTTGAGGGGAAATGTAGACGTGTTCGCTTGGAACGCAATGGAGATGAAGGGAGTGGATCCCAAAATTATCACCCACAAGCTGCATGTTGACCCCGCGCACAAGCCAGTAAAGCAGAAGCCACGACGCATGGCACCGCACCACGCCCGAGCGATCAACGAAGAGATCGATAAACTCCTAGAGGCCAATGCCATCTGGGAGGTACAGTTCCCGGAATGGCTGTCTAACACGGTCTGTGCGAAGAAAAAGAGGGAAAAATGGCGCGTCTGCGTAGACTTCACTGATCTAAATAAGGCATGTCCCAAGGACGACTACCCCCTGCCAAAGGTGGATCAGTTAGTAGATGCCACTACCAGATATCAACGCATGGACTTCTTGGATGCCCGAGCAGGATATCACCAGATCCTTCTCCACCCCCCGGATCAAGAAAGAACTGCGTTTATCACTCGAAGGGAGTTTATTGTTACAAAGTGATGCCGTTTGGACTGAAGAACGCCGGAGCAACATACCAAAGACTGATGAATCGGATGTTCAAAAAAAAGATCGGCAACACCATGGAGGTCTACATTGATGATATGTTGGTGAAGAGCAAACGAAGCTGTGACCACCTGGTAGATTTGGCGGATACCTTCTCTACCCTCAGGGAGTACGGGCTGAAGCTGAACGCCGCAAAGTGCATTTTCGGAGTGGAGTCGGGTAAATTTCTC